CATCTGAGGCGTCTTCATGGCAGAATGAGGCACCGCCGGTGGACAGGTCCAGAGTGGTGGTGTTTGGGCGGTGGGCATCTGGAACACCGGCAGCTCAGGGGTGTAACTCGGAGAAAGAGAGGGAGAGCGGTTAGGAACGGTCACACACACAGTGTGGAGATAAACATAAAGTACAGGGGACTCCGGCAGGACTAACTATATCACTATCTGGAGTTGGAGCTCCTTGACCATCTTGGGAATGGGCCATTTGGTGACAGCAGCCACTTTGTCTTGGTCCATGGCCACTCCTTCAGGTCTATGATATAGCCGAGGAAAGAGATGGTGGACATTCGCATTTCTCTTCCTTTACATAGACCTGGTTGTCAAAGGGTTGTGCCAGGACTCACTTAACATGCTGAACATGGGATTGCAGAGAGGGTGAAAAGGTTAATATGACATCAATATAGGCAATTTCAAACTTTCCCAACATGTCCCTTACAACATCATTAATGAGGCATTGGGGTCGCAAGAGAGCCTATATGGCATGGCGCAGTACTTGTAGTGACCAGAGGTGATGCTAAAGGCCATTTTCCACTCGTTGCCCTCTCTGATGCGTACAAAGTTGTAGGCATTACTGAAGACTGGACTCAACAAATTGGTATGTTTTCCATATCAACAGGACTGTGGCTTCATCCCTGATACACTGATATCTTGGTAAAGTAACAAACAGAAGAAACACCTTCACACTTGTATACAGACCGAAGGGAAGTTAATAATGACTACAATATTGAACAATGGCATTTGTGCTACTACAGTTGACTTAATACACCTGCAGTGTATTCATCAAGGAACAAACACCTAGCTACAGCTTTCTGATTAAGTGTAGTATCTGCTGTTATGTGTGTAATACATTATACTTTCTTCATATGATGATGTCATAATGAAGTGCATCTTTTGTCATTCACTTGATCAAACATCATGTAGGTTTAGGTATTTACTATTTTTAATGTTAGATGTAGTGTTTGCATGGCCCCACCCTCAGCAGACAATTCCAAATCATTTTAAATAGTAAAACAGAGGAAAGTGATGGCTATGTCTATAGGTGAGTGGGAACTGATAACCTGGCTGAGGGTAAGGTGACTTGAGCCAGCCCCTTCCACCCTGATATCTTTTATAGCTCCTGGAGGAAGAAAAGAGCAATGTGATATATGTTACTTAAAAAAAAAAAAAAAATTTTAAGTCCCAAATCCACCCACCAAATCCAACCCCCAGCATACCGTTTATCATTACTCATTACAGTTTAGCATAGCCAATCCACCTACTGGCATGATACTAGGAGGTGGAAAGAAACCAGAGAACACTGGAGAGAAGATCACATGGACATGGCGAGACCATGCACAGAAATTCCAAAAGACAGTAACCTGGGCTCAGGATTGACCCAGGGATCCTGGAGCTGTGACCTTTATTATT